GGAAAGAAGGAGGGAAAACGCGCCCGGAAATGCTATCTCTGCCAACAGCCAGGTCACTTTGCCAGAGTCTGCCCCCAGAGGAAGGAATGGCAAGGGATGGTAGGAGCTGTGGAGGGAAGAGAGGAAGAAATACCGGAGCAAGTAAAGCCAACGCCTGGCTGCCACCGTCGGGGCACAGCAGCCAGGCCAAAGAGCAGTGAGAGTGCCCACGCCAGAACCTCCTAAACCCGCCCTAGTGATAGAAGTGGCGCTAGAGCTGCCAAACGGACACCCTCTAAAGATAAAGGCGCTGTTGGACTCAGGCAGCTCCTGCAATTTCATGAGCAAAGAGTTTGCAGCTGAACACCAGATACAGACGATCCTTTAAGCAACCCCTGAAGGTGACCACGATCGATGGCAGGGAGCTGTTGGGAGGAGAAGTCAGCTTGCAGACCGTCCCAATGATAATGAAGGTGGCAAGGCACACCGAACTGATAGCGTTTAATGTGGCCACCTTGGGAGGAGCTCCCATTATATTGGGGATGAGCTGGCTAGCGTTACATGATCCGCTGGTGGGCTGGCATCAGAGAGTGGTTTCTTTTGGTTCAGCACATTGCTTAGAACACTGCAAAGAGGGAAAGGGTTTGGCAGGGGCCCAAGCCACCCTAGCAGGGACTGAAGTAACGGAGAACGTGAAGGTACCACGACAATACGCAGATCTCCGCGACGTCTTCAGCGAAAGGGAAGCTGACCAACTACCCCCGCATAGACCCTTTGACTGTCAAATCAATTTACTCCCTGGGGCACAGCTCCCTGTAGGCAAGCTGTACGCCATGTCAGACAGAGAGATGCAGGAGCTAAGAGAGTTCATTGACAAGAACCTGAAGAGAGGGTTCATCAGAGAGTCCAGGGCGGTGGGGGCAGCCCAGTGTTTTTGTGGATAAAAAACACGAACAAGCCGAGGCTGGTGTGTGACTTCAGGGCCTTAAATGCAGTGTCAGAACCAGTGGCCTTCCCTATGCCCAGGATTGACGACATTTTGACAAGGGTGCGGAAGGGAAAGATTTTCACAAAGCTGGACCTAAGGGGGGCGTACAACCTGATACGAATAAGGAAGGGGGATGAATGGAAAACCACCATGTTCACCCCTTTAGGGGCATTTGAATATTTGGTTATGCCCTTCGGCCTACAAGCAGGCTCCGCATGCTTTCAATCGTTTATGAACCACGTCCTGGGGCCTTTGCTTTACAAGAATTGTGTGGCCTTTTAGACGACGTGTTGGTGTATTCTGAGAATGAGGAGCAGCATGTGAGAGACGTCAGAGAAGTGTTGAGCAGGCTGCAAGCCAACCAGCTGTGGGTGAAACTGGAGAAGTGTCAGTTTCATACCAAGGAGGTGGAATTCCTGGGGTATCGCCTGTCAGACAAGGGATTGGCCATGGATCCCGGCAAGGTCCAGGCGGTGCTGGAATGGAAAACACCCAAAACAAGGAAGGATGTGCAGAGGTTCCTAGGATTTGGGAACTTCTATCGTAAGTTCATCCGAAACTTTGCCCACCTGACGGCGCCCATTACGGACTGTCTCAGCAGTAAGAAGAAGTTCGCTTGGACTGAGGAGGCGGAGCGAGCATTTGAGGAACTAAAAGGGCCTTCGCCTCGGAACAACAACTCCTGCATGTGGATTTACAAAAACCGATGAGAGTGGAAACTGACGCATCAGACAGAGCGATTGGGGCGGTGCTTCTGCAGCCAGGGAAGGAGGAGTCAGAGTGGAGACCGTAGTGCTTTTTTTCGCGAAAGCTGAACAAATCCGAGAGGAACTACACGGTGTATGACCGAGAACTACTAGCCATTCATGAGGCGTTCCGGAGATGGAGGCACCTGCTAATTGGCGCACAACATAAGGTGCAAGTGTGCACTGACCACAAGAACCTAGAGTATTGGAGGACGGCACGAGTGCTCAACCAACGGCAAGTGAGATGGGCCCAGGAGTTCTCCAAATTTAACTTTGAGATTGGTTACGTGCCAGGCCCAGAGAACATTAGGGCGGACGCCTCTCACGCAAACCTGAATATTTGGAGGGGGAGGGAGCACCCGAAGAGAGACATGTCATTCCAGAGGACCGCTGGGTGTGTGGGGCGGCATTGGTGGGACAAAGAGAACTGGTAGAGGAAACAGAGAATGATGAATACGCCCAGAATAAGCTCAGAGGTCTTAGGGGTGAGGGAGAGGAACCAGGGGGTTTCGAGGAAAGAAATGGAGCTTTGTATTACAAAGGGGCACTGTATATCCCTGAAGGAGACTTAAGGGGGAGGGTACTCAAGCAGTTGCACGACAGCCCTACGGCGGGGCATTTTGGACAACACAAAACCATGTGGTTGGTCACCAGGGAATTTTGGTGGCCTAAGGTGAGGGAAGATGTACGTGAGTATGTAAGAGGGTGCGAGCAATGCCAGCGAGCCAAAGGGGAAAGGCGGGCGCCGGCGGGGCTATTAGAACCCTTACCAACCCCAGAACGACCTTGGGAGGCAGTGTCGATAGATTTTATGACTGATCTGCCGAAGTCCAAAGGGAAAACAGCCATCATGGTGGTGGTAGACCTACTAACAAAGATGTGCCACTTTGTAGCTTGCTCGCATGCAGTCACGGCGGAAGAGACAGCGAAGTTATTTGTAGAACACATTTTTAGGTTGCACGGGGTGCCATTGAGGGTGGTCTCAGACCGAGGAAAACAATTTACTTCCAGGTTCTGGAGGAAGCTCATGAGCTTACTGCAGGTGGAGGTCAATTTTTCGACTGCCCGGCACCCTGAAACCAACGGGCAGGCGGAAAGAGCAAACGGTGTCCTCCAGCAATACCTGAGGTGTTATGTCAATGACAGAGAGAATGACTGGGTAGAAAAGTTGGCGCTGGCGGAATTTGCCTACAACAATGCCGAGAATGTGTCCACAGGGATGAGCCCCTTCTTGGCTAATTATGGGTGTCATCCCAGGGCTTTCCCAGGGGGAGATGGGGAGAGATGGAGCGTCCCGGCAGCCGAGCATTTTGTGGAAGAAATGGAAGCAATCCATCGTCAGCTCCAACTCAACTTAGAAAGGGCGAAGGAAGAATACAAGAGGCAGGCAGACAAGAACCGAAGGGAAGGTGAAACCATAAGGGTGGGAGATAGGGTGTGGCTGTCAACCCAAGGGCTGCCGCTCAAAGGAGGTTGTAAGAAATTAAGACCCAGGAGGTTGGGTCCCTTTGAGGTCATTCAACAGGTCAACCCAGTGGCTTTCAGGCTCCGGTTACCCAACCACATGAAACTGCACCCAGTATTTCACAGGTCGTTACTGTCACCGTACGAAGGGGGACGAGAAGGGATGGCCACTCGGGACCGGGTCATAGAAGAAAGAGAATGCAGCAGCCATGTGGCAGAAATCCTCGACGCCAGGTGGAAGGGGGATCAGGTGGAGTATTTGGTAGCGTGGGAAGGAGAACCGGAGTCAGAAAACACTTGGGTAATGGCCGAAGATATCAATGACGAGGTATTGATAGAAACGTTCCATCAAAGGTTCCCAAGGAAACCTCAGCCTGTGGAGAGGTTCCGGAGGGAATACTTTGGGACCACGGCTGAGGAGGAGGAGTTGGAAGTATTCCCGGACTCGGAAGGTGAAGGGGAGATGGACTCTGAGGAGGAGGAGTACTTCGAGACCAGGAACCGCAACAGGTGGAGAGAAGTGTTCGAGACATCGGAAGATGAAGGAAGTTCATTCCGGGTTTTGCCTCCTCACCGCCCGTAGAGGAGGGGGCGAGAGGGGGTGAAAGGGGCCCTGGAGGGGGAGGTGGATGTCAGGGAACTGCCATCGGAAGGAAGGGAGGTGAAAGGGCTCACACAGGTTGGGAGAGACTCAGCAGCTGAAGAGGGAACCAGTAGGGGGAGAGGAGCTGAGCTGAGGGAAAGTGAGCTGGAGGGATGGCTCAGAGACACTTCCAGCGAAAACAGTGGGGAGGTTTCAGGACCTCCTGTAGGAACACCCACTCCTCGCCGGAAACTGTCACGCAGAGAGTCCAGAACACGAGCTTCCGTTAAGGAGCTCTTCTGAGGGAAGCGCTTCCGAAAGCAACCACTGTCGGAATCTGCTAGTGACTAGAGGAGCCCCGCCTGCCGGGCTCCGGCCCAGCCCGAGGTTTGTGGACGTCACCAAACTCTGAGGGGATACTATTTTACGCACAAGC